ATCCATACTTTACCAATTAGGTTAAAAGACAGGGCAAAAAGTTCCATGAAGTGAACAATTGTTCTCATTACTTGATACGTGATATTTGAATGGCCCGTCCTCACTGGTTATGCGGGCCTCAGCATCTCCACTTTTTGGAGATTTGCTGGTTAAGCCATTATGGTTCCCTGGAGTCCCGAGGTCAGCCTGGCCAAAGTTTGCTCTAGGTCTTTACCACCACGGCCAGTCGCAACCCTTGTGAATCAAGGGAAGATTTACCACCATGCAACTTTGATACCAGGACAGTGGTGGATCCTGGTATTGGTTTACTCTTAGCTAGGGTTTTTGATGGAAGCGCCAGACTCCTCGGCATAGGAGACCCTGCCAGTGGATGAATCCCCCGCTGTACATCGCAGTCCAACACCCTTGAACACCTTCCAGCAACGGGGACGCGGTAACCGTTGAGAGGATTGTTCTCATTGGTGTTGCAAATCTACTGAAATTATTATTGCATCCTTGAAAAATAAAATGACGCAAAGAAAAAACCCAGTAGCCTAGGTAGGTATGAAACTGGTAAACCATGCTCGAAGTGTTTAACAAGAGAGTAATGCACTCCAACTGAAGGACTTTGCATTGGAAATGTCTGATGCAGCATTGTGAATATTCAATACACGTGTGCAATTCCGGAAATAGATGACATAGTTTTTTAAACATTATAGGCGGAAATTATGAAGTACAAACAGGCGTCAACCATTACAAAACTGAAGAGGAACATTTTCCTAAGAGGAGGCGATTCGGAAAACACTAAGTCGTTCAAGACTTGCAAAGAAATAGTGAAGCCCCATTGGAATTTAATGCTCCTCGTACAATTTTTTTTGGAAGTACATTTCATAGAATTACCATAAGCATATTTTATTTCGGACAATGTTAAAAAGAGCAAAACTTTTTAGCGAGAATTCGTGCCATACTTGAGAAAAGCTCGCTACTTTCCCAATGAACAGAGAAGAGGTTGTTATTATATACTACTTACTTACAACAACCGACCTTTCAGCGAATGTCGCTCTTTTCAGAACCTGGAAAGGTCAAGTTGATTGCAACCTACTCGGCCAAGTACACTAAACCAAGATTTCAATTGCAGTGGAAACAAAAAAATCTTCGCACACTCAGCGCTTTCTATGAGTTTTCCATTGAGTATTTCATGTGGAGACCAACCGCATGGAGTTCGTACGTGATCATAATGTGCACCTCACATTAAAATATCGTTCTTAAATATTGTGTCAGATTACGTGTGATAATGTGCCATTCCTGTTCATTTACGGGTTCCTGGAATTTATCCAGAACGCTTCGAAAGATTTGTGCGCCAGTGTTTTCGGTTCTTGTGTGAGGAAGTTAATTTCCTCGTTAAAATCTTCCTTTTTAGGCCTCTATGCCTTGAGGAGTCTCTGCCTGCGCCAATTCTCTACCTCTACAGTGGAGGTTTTCATTGCTATCTGATGGCACTGCCACGCGGTTCTCCTTGATTTGTGGCGATCTGAAAAACCTAAGACTTGGGTAATTAAGCCCTTTCTATGCGTATTATTTACACGACGATGTAATGAGGTTAGAAATGTGTACACAACAAATTGCAAAGCTAGTGGTTCAATCAGCTCTAACGATGCTTATTGAAGTCGAATGCATGGAGCATCCCTCAAGGATTGATCAACGCCAGAGGCTTTATCTTCTTTCTATGCCGCAATGAAAGATAGAGAATACCTAGCGAGAAATATTTTGCATACTCTCTGGCGCGCATACGAGCAAGATTTTAAACTAGAAGTAACTATCGTCGCACAGGAATCGAAAACTTCAGCGAAAACACTCAAGCATTTTGGATAAATTCCTAAAACCCGAAAACAAACCGCAAGCAGGAATGCCTCGTTATCATCCGTGATCTCACACAGTATTTATGACTGATATTTTAATGCGAGAGGCACATTACGCTTTCATGTGAACTCTGTGAGGTAGGTCTCCACGTGAAATACTCGGTGGAAGACTCGTAAAAAGCGGTGAGACTGCGCAGAATCCATTTTGCTCTCAATGGTCCTGGTCTAGTATTTTCTCCGTTTCGATTACGGAGATGGTTTGGCTGGAAAGATACGGTCACCTTGACCTTTCCAAGCCCTGAAAAAGCGAAATGCGGCGAAACGTCAGCAGTTGTAAATGAATAATATTTAATAAGAACCACATATGTGCTAAACAAGGAAATAGCAAGTTATTCACAAATGTCGAGGTTGATAGAAAGTCCATTTTGGAAATTATGCTTGAGAATTTTGACATTGTTTCTGCATATCTAAGCATTTAAGCGGACTCTGTATGAAAAATTAAGCAAGAATGATGTGACTGAAGTTGATGCTTTGAGAGCTACTAGGTCTGTGCTTTTATTGCTCAAACTGGCTTATCATAGCCATTCATGTCGGACGCGTTATCAAAAATCGATTACAACTTTGCAAATATTTATTTGCATGTCCCTATAAATGATCTTGTTGAACTGATGATGGCATGAGTTATCGTTGTTGTTGTTGTTGGTCGATGGCTGACGTTTCGGCGATTTCGCCTTCCTCACAACCGTTCTGTTACGAGTGGGACTTTGCAGATAGTGTTATCTTATGGAGTGAATGCTGAATTACTACTTTGTCGATCCCCTTAGTTCCAAAATTCCCGATACGGTATTAGCGCAAGCAAAAAGATCAGAGCAAGTATCCTTAGTACATTACGTTGTATTAAAGTGAGCAACCTCACTTCATCTTGGCACTGCTCCACTCAAGAATATTCGACTCGATATGAATACGAAGACACGCAACTCGAGAATGGGCGATTGTTGGCCATCGACTGGAATCGTGAGCTCTGAGGAAGGAGAAGTCAAAGCTTTAGCCGAATAAAAGCTTTGCACCAACCTCATGTCAGGTCAGTCAAGTAGGGAATTGCTGATTATTGTCAATGAGGTCTAATAAAAGTCGGTTTTTAAGTGGTCGCCAAGTTTGCCACGTCGTGTGCCAGCAAATCAACTACCCTGCTACAGGACACGTTGCCCGCCCAAAAAGTGGATCACAATGGAAGCGGCAATCGACCAACTCCCGTCCTGTATAGAAGATTTTATATCAACATATCAATTAAGCCATGGATCTCCCTCACATGAGGGATCTCGAGCCGGTTAGTCACGAGGCTACAACGTGGCTCGTCCCCAACTAGGGGACACGACTAGTATCACCCTTAATTCGGCTTTTCACTATGTCCTGCTTGCTAAAGACTGGAGCTTATATAGCAAATTTTGGTAAAATTCTTTTCGGTATCAGCAAAGCATTCTGAACTCAGCCTTAGATCATTAACATTTTAAGAGACTGGACGGAGATGACGGTGCTTTCAGACCATTAAGAGCTAATAGTGCTACCTCTTTGGCATATAACTAAAAACTAAAAACGTAACTAAAAAAGATAAAGATAAAGCTCTTGCTGTTGATCATTCCCTGAGAGATACGCTATGTATTCGACTTCATTAAGCATCGTTTGGAGGTGAGTGAATGCATATCTGGCCTTCACAATAACTCGCGATGGCCTACCAATGCATCGGACCAGCGCTGCCATCCTGCAAAACAGGTCTATTACCGATTTACAGACCCCGGAGGAGTGGAAGGCTTGGTGGGCTATGGGAGCGGGGATTGATTCCAAGTGTGTGTTGCAGGGCCCCTCCCACCTACAGAACTGTAACTACCTATGCCTAATCTTGTGCTTTTTAGTAGCAGAAAGAACAGCATTGTAAATACTCCACCACATTTCCTGAAAAATATCATTACCATCCATTCAGCTGTACTACGTTCACGGATGGGCGCGCGTGGCGCAGTGGTTGGAGGTTGGAGGCGTCACTGCGACACACATGTAGAATCGACCCTCGCGCTCATGGCCCACCAAACCTTCCATCTCTCTGGGATCAGCAATTTGGTACCAGACTTGCCTGGGAGGATAGCAGCACTGGCTCGATACATCGGTAGACCACCACGAATCATTGCAAAGGCCAGATATGCATTCAAGCACCTCCAACGATACTTAATGAAGTCGAATGCACGGCGAATCCCTCAGGGATTTATCAACGCCGAGAACTTTATCTTTTATCCTTTTACGTTAATGGATAAAACATTCTAAAATAACCCTTTTACTAAAGTTAATACAAACAACCAAAAGAACGATTAAATACACAGAAACCCAAAACTCCACCCAGTATTTCAATAAACACGCATCTGTCCGAAGATTCGCGAACTCCAGTGGTACTTTCGAGACATGCTTAGACATGCTCTTCTAACTTACGACCTTTCATCTGAGGTAGTTAGCATTGTTTTAGCACTTAGTGTTCATGTGCTACAATTATTCTTTAACATCATCTCATTCTAATCATTGCTGTGAACCCATAAATATCATCCGTGTCAGTCTTAGCACACAATGTTAAAGCAGCTATCATCAGGAAACCGCAAGATTTCTAAATAATCGCTTTGGCAGCATAGTAGCATCGGTCGAACTGTTGATCCTAAAAGGAAAATCTACAGAATAACAGCTTTTTCAGAACGAGATGTAAACAACGGTGAATGCCATCTATCATACGAAACTATCTCACACAGTAATTCCTCCAGGATTACGTGGATAAATAATTAATTTCGTTATGTCAAGTGGCTTACTTAGTCGTTAGTAGCAAGAAGTTCAACAGAATAGGAACTTTTCACGTCAATATTCGTAAACGCAAGGATAATGATACTTGATTATCCCTACAAAAGTATACTTATCGATCGATAATCCCCCTCCCAACTGACAAGTTAAAAAGTTTCGTTAATGAACAGGGAAATGTCGAACCAGTGATATCACTGCGGTATCCCATTATACAATGCTACAAATTTCCGAAAGACATCAAGTCTTTTAAAGTGAAACTAGTGTTTTGTGGAGTAGAAAATTCGCTCTTAAGCTACCAGAAGTTTCGCTACTTTCTAAACTACTAGGAATACCTCACCTGAATACGTACCCTTCTTTGGCGATTGCTGATGTTATGGCACATATGGTTTTTACGTCATCAATACCGCTATGAATACGTCCCTTAAATTAAGAATGTAAAAAAGCAGTCCAAACCACCATAAACAGTCTTCAGCTGCTACAAGAATGTTTAGGAAACTTACCGAATGGTTTAGCTTGTATATTCTCAGTAGATCCCTTAAACCCTTCGCAAATATGCCACTGTGTTCACAATAAGACTTTTTCACATTAATCCATGAATTAAAATAGCTGAAATGTGCATATTAAACAAAAACTGGCTGGTAGGCGATACTGCTAACCTTCTACTTGTTAGTAAAGGTAAGCGTTGGTAAAGTAGAATAAGCGTCCGACATGATAAAATAATACATATATTACAAACCTGGGTATGTCCAGATTCTTCATCTTTGCCTCAGATGGTAGCATTACGCCTAAATCCCAATCTCCACATGTGACGAAAGCAAATCGAGATTTTAGTATTTCTTCCTATAAATATTACTTTATGTAACAAAATAGGCATGGCTTATTAAATTTTTCGGTATTATGAAAACATTTTATTTCGATGTTATGAAATTTCCATATTAAGGATGCGTGTAACGCACAGGTTAAATGCACATGGGATCGATCCCCGCGCCTCTGGCACACCAAGCCCTCCACACCACGAGGGCCGACAAATTGGTACCACACTTGTCTGCAAGGATAGTAGAACTGGGTCGATACATCGGTAGCCCACCGTGAGCCATTGTAAAGGCCAGATATGCATTCAGTCACCACTAGCGATATTTAATGAAGTCGAATGCATGGGGCAACCCTTTGAGAACGATCAATGCCGAGAACTTTATCCTTTATACTTATGGAAAAATATTGACAAGTCGTTGCTTAATTTTTCAACAATGGATCAACCAGTGTACAGAACAAGCTCTTTTCTCTAGAGCAAAAAGCAAAGATTGCAACTCAAATAGAGAGTTACGAGGGAACATATTTCAATAGTGAGAAACGACTGTCGAGGTGATCTCCAAATAGTATTTGAAGAATAGAATTGGTCGCATTTCGGGATAAGCATATAAATTTGCAAACAAATTTATTCTAATAGCTTCTCTTTTCTGAAGAGACCGCCATATTTTGTACTGATTATTCGGACGATAAGACAATCGTTAGTTATTTGAAGGGTGAATGAAAAGCATAACTATCCGAAATTGAACAAAAGGAAACAATTGAGAGCAACATCTGCTGCCAAATGGGCAAAAATAGTTGTAAGAAGACAGTCCACTATGAAAGACATCTCGTAAACGTAACTGGAAGTCTCTGGACGGTGATGCATAGCAGAAACATTCGACTAAATTTCGTCCACATCACAGAAATTCGCACAAAAAAACTTGGAAAAAAAATGAAAACCTGATCCGAATTTGAAGCAAATCTAAAGCAGCGAAGCTCGCACAACTGAGGTTGGTAGTATTGCTAGTGTATTTAGCAATAATATGAACATAACAAAGGCCGCGTGTACAGCAGGGGTCGGAGGCCCCTGCAATACATATGAGATCGACCCCGCGCACCAGGCTCACCGAGCCCTCTATCTCTCTGTGGTCGGTAAATTCATACCAGACTTGTTTGTGAGGATAGCAGCACCGGCTCGGTACATCGGTAGGCCACCGCGAGTTATTGTAAAGGCTAGATATGCATTCAACCACCTATAACGATGCTTAATGAAGTATAATGCATGGCGCATTTTTCAGAGATAGATCGACGGCGAAAACTCTTTAGCTTTTCTATAAACTGAATATATCTTCAGAAAAAGAAGAAGAAGAGAAGCCGCCTTCTTCCAGGTTCAATTTTCACAGCTGTAGGAACACAAAAAGGTGGTGGACTATAGGACGGTCGCAGAAAGAAAAAAGATAGAAAAGAACAAAAGAAATATATAAGGTGGAAAGATAATAGGTAAGCATACCGCCGGATTTCCAGTGAGGAGACGATTTTATGAAGGGTTCTAAAAATTGTAAAAAGAAATGAAGCTAGAATGAAGTCTCTTCTTAGAAAAACACAACCCTTAACTTCGACAGGTTGGACTTTCTATGACATACAGCACGACCAGCTTCTAGATAAATGCGAACGAACGACAAAGCGAAGATTCATATTTGACGCCAAGTGAGAAATAAAAAATGACTGGGATTTCTGGCCTCAGAGAACAATAAACATCGAAATGCCTACATACTAACCTTTTTCATCCACTCATCGAAGTCGTTAAGCACTTGATCGATAGTTGGCTGGTTGTCCACCATTTCCTGTAAATTTTTAGCCAATCCACATTTTTGCTGCGCAGAAATTAAGAGCCCTCTTAAAGAAAAATCATGAAACAGTACTAATTAACCGTAGTGAACTCTTAAGAGCGGCATGTCATATACAATTCAGTACGATACTTGGATTTTTTGGCAAGAGAAAGATGGCAAAACACCTTCAAAACCAGCAAACTTCACCTGAATGATGCCAGTGAGATGCGTACAGAATGAAGTGATATTGGGATTGGCAGTTGGTTTTACATATTGATGAAAGCAAGAAGTGATTGTCCATGATTTTACATCGAGTTTTGCAACAGGGAACTCGATTATTTCCTAAAAGTAGGCAATGACAGGCATGCCATTGCGTGACAGGCAATGAAGTCTACAACAGAAAAAGCCCAAAAATCAAGCACCGTGTCATAAATCTCTTGAAACCAGTACCTGGTACGGCAGGATTGGTCCACTATCACAGCATGTAGCTTCGAAATCGAGAATGAGCAAATTATCGAAATTCTGCGTCACACTATGCGGCTCTGAAACACAGGTCTATATTTTCGCGTTAACGATAGCCATATCCTACTTGGATACTTGGACTGCCCATCTTCACTGATTGTGCGGACCCCGGCATAAATTCCATTTTTTCGGAGTTTCACTGCTCTAGTCTCTGCCATCATGCAACTACTTTTATACCAGGACGGTGGTAGATCCTAGTGTTGGTTTACTCTTAGCTGGGCTTCCTGATGGAAACGCTGGACTCCCTTCTCAGTTTCAGAGACCCTGCTGGTGAGGCAAGATGAATCTCACTGCTGTGCATCGCAACCCAACCCCCAAGAACACCTCCCAGCCACGATGAGGCGATAAACCGTTGGGAGAGTGCGTAAATCATAGTGTTTAAAAATAAATAACTAGGTCAAATGCTGCTTAAGACATATAAGTAATACTATTAGTAGTAACAACACTGATAATAATATGAAAGTACGTTTTTAATAATCTTCCTTGCATACTTCTTCTTTGATGTAGTATCCCTCCTGATTCCGTATATATACTTCAGAAAAACACGCCTGAACAATATGCCCTGCTTATTTCATCGGAAGTCACATTTCTGTCTCTATTTCACCGGTGCAGGAAGTGGAAAGACATTTCACGGAACTATGTTTGAGTAAAACAATTTTCAAACCCACCGTCATTTAACCTCTGTAGTGAAATAACCAACACGTTTTTAATTTTTTGAGCGTACGCAAGGTTGATAAATATGTTTACTTCCGCTAACGTTTCGACAAAACAGCAGAACTAACAACAGTTCTGTATAAAGGGACACTGCCGAATGTGCATCCTCCGTCGTGCGGTGTTCAGTGAAGAAGATGCCGTCTCGTTACGACAACGAACAACTGTGGACCACCGACACCGACCATCGGCTCTGATGAAGATGAAAACCTCGAAACTTTAGCCGAAATAAACATATTTGTCAACTTCGGGTAAGCCCAACAGACTGAAAATATGTTCGAGTACTCGTATTAATATGCATTCTTTCTTTGATAAGCTTACACGAGGTCGACAACTGTGGACCATCGACTCTGATGAAAACGTAGACATCGAAACGACAATCGAATAAAGATTATATACCAACCTCGTGTAAGCTTATCAAAGAAAAAATGCATATTGATTAGTCACACTGAGGTTAAATGAAAGTCGATCTTGAAATATTGTTATGCTCTTTACTCGCATTAGTTTTGATAGTTCATTGTCTTTATTTACTTGGTTCATCCAAATACTCTCCCAATACTAGTCATAACGAAAGTATCCAGTAAATTATCAACACGAGAGCAGAGACACCTTATCAAAACATCCTAGCCTTCAGAAGACTAAAGCAAAACAGGAGTTACCCAACCATACTATGTATAGCAGACAGTTAAGCTAACAAAGGAAGTCAAATTAAAAGTAACAGCCAAGAATTTCTTTAAGAAAAGCTCGCCTGTACGTCGATGACCTAAGGATGGTACGAACTGTGGTGACCCCTTGAAGGAGACCAACTTTACGGCCGATGTTTCGCGCTGTGTTAGGAACAGAGTCTTTGTATTAGCCTGCAAGGAAGCAGTTTTTAGAGAAGAAATCAAAGCGCTTAAGAACTGACAAGTGAGTAGAGCAAAATTTTAGAGACCGCCTCATATACACCCAAAATTACCTTACCGACCTTACTGCTGGCTGCTGTAGTGGCAAACGGTGACTGAGGACTGCGATTCATGAGCAACGAAGAAAGAAGAGGTCTTGAGTAACCTCGAATAGAAGTCATTTCTAGAATTTGTGGAAGAAATTACCAGCAACATAGCAAATCTCTTAGTTCAAAACCTTTCAAAAAGAATGTCGTAATGACAGCATCGAATGATAGTGTGTGGTGTGCAATCCAACACATACGCACATTCCTCCTTCGCTTTCAGGATTCCAGCTACTTACTACTTACGATTACAATTAAAATTGCACTACATCATCAGAGTGAAGGGAACGCTTGTGGAGCAGTGGTCGTGGGCGCGTTGGAATGCACATGGGATCGATCCTGCGCTCAAGGCTCACCTAGCCTTCCATCTCTCCGGAGTCAGCAAATTGGTACCAGACTTGTCTGAGAGGATAGCAGCACTGATTCCATACGTCGGTAGGCCATCGCGAGTAATCGTAAAGGCCAGACATGCATTTAGTCAACTCCAACGATTCTTAATGAAGTTGAATGCATGGTGCTCATGGCGTTGATAGATCAGGGATTAATCAACGCCGAGAGCTTTATTCTTTATCCTTTTATCAGAATGAGGTGGTGTTACTAATAAAAAACAAGGATCGCTCTCGTTGAGGTTGCATTGTCGATTGAACTACCGCTGTTTTTTTTTAACTTTAAACCACGTCGAAATGGGTGTCCTTTAAATACTTACGATACGATCACCTGTATCACCTGTAGTCCCGTTGATCGTCGAGTGACTCGAGCGGGCGCCAGTAAAGCTTCCATTTTTCCCTGTCGCGTGCTAGAGTAGCCCAGTGGGTTCTGCTCGCTCTAGGGACTCGTCGAGCATCGTATCTTTCTTCAAAGCTCTTTATGAAGAACTCTGACCATCGGGTCGGTGGTCTTCCTGCAGTACGTTTGGCATCACGGGGAATCCAGTCACTAACGGCTCTTGTCCATCATTGTCATTCGTACGCATTACGCGTCCGGCCCACCTTATCTTCGACTGTTTGGCGACCGGAAAGGGATCTTTGTTTTTGATCGTTGACACAGGTCGGAGCTTCGGATCCCATCCCTTACTTGTGTTAAACGGAATTCTCCTAGCATCGTTCTTTCGGCTGCCCGTTCAATAACGCTGAGTGATTTTTCGTCCTGTTTACGCAGCGGCCGGGTTTCTGACGCATACGTTAACGCAGGAAGTACCGCTGAGTCGAAAAGGTGGTCACGGAGTCGGATGTTCTTTGTTCTCTTCACTACATTCTCAATGCTCTTGAAAGCTCTCCAAGCCGCTCGTTTCCTTCGCTCAGCTCTGGAGCTAAGTCGTTCAACATGTTGATTTCCCAACCTAGATAGACACAACTGGAGGATTCGGAGATATTCGTTCCGTTGAGCGTGAATGGGACATACGAAACCAATTCGTTCTTCATGAACATCGTTGTGAGATTTAGTCAAAGGCCAATCTTTCCACATGCTTTATCGAAGTCCGCAGGCATTCGCTCCGCTTGGTTAATGTTTGGTGTTATAAGGACGATATCATTAGCAAAGCGAAGAAAGTGTAGCTGCCGCCCATCGATTTTCACTCCCATATTATCCCATTCCAAGGTTCGCATGACGTTCTGAAGGGTGGGGGTAAATAATTTTGGCGATATGGTATCGCCTTGCCTAACCCCTCTTTTAACGTCAATGTTAATATCGTTGTAGAATGGTGATATCTTGGTTGTGAAATTTTTCTACAGCTCACAAGGAATCTTTATGTACTGAGCAGGGACTCCTTGACTATGAAGGGCTTCCAAGACTGCTTCTATTTCACTTAAGTTAAAGGCCTTGTTTAAGTCGACGAAAGTGAGACAGAGCGGTCTTTTGTACTGTCGCGAAACTTCAATGAGTCTTGTTATCGTGTGGATGTGGTCCATCGTACTAAATCCTTTTCGAAACCCTGCTTGCCAACATGGCTGTCCTTCGTCCAGTGTTCTGTCATTTCTGTTTAGGGCCACTCGAGTGAAAAGTATGTAGACGACAGAGAGCAAGCAGATTGGGCGATGGTTGTCGATATCGTGTAGGGACCTTGCATTCAGACAGGTAACGTGTGAAGAGCCGAGCCAGTGTGTTCACGAGGACTGGCAGAAGGGTCTTCAGGTGTTCCGATCTTATCCTATCCGGACCTGGTATTGTTCCATTTCTCAACGACGAAATGGCATGTCGCATTTCGGAAAGGAGAACCGGTGGTACAACATATCCATCCTCCTTTATTTCATATAACGGAAGGTGGACTTGGCTATCGAAGAGATCTGAGTAGTATTCGTGAATGATTTTCTCCATTGCCTTTCTGGTCGCTGTAACTGTTCCGTCTGGGCGTCGGAGTGCAATCAACTTAGTCCTGTAATTGGCGAAGATTCGGTGGGCTTTGCGAATGCTTTGCTCTGCCTCTGCAGTTTTTACCATGACTGCTGCTCATCTCCCTTTAAGATCTTTTATCGATTGTCACCCTTGTTTTGCAAGTTCGGACGTGAGTTTGCGGTTTGCTGTAGCTCGTACAATTCCACGCTGGCGTATCAGCTCGAGTGTCTCTGGAGACAGACGTCTCTTAGTGACTTTCGAACTCTCAGATTTCATAGCGCTAACGTGTTGTTGAATGACCGGCAGTCCACTAGTGAGCTTGATAAGTCCCACTTTATGGTGGTTCTGGAACTTCGGTTTTGAAATTAGCGGCTTTTTCTCCTTTCAGCGAGAAATGGAATCTTGCAGGAAGGAGACGATGGTTAGATCTCGTGTAGAATTTTTGGACAACAACGACATCGGGTAGGGAAAACCTTCTATTTGCTATGATGTGGTCTATTTTGTTATGGTAGTCTCCATTGGGAGAGTCCCACGTCCAGCGTTGATGATGCGGCTTCTGAAGTCGCGAGTTACCATGGGTGGTCTTGGTCGTCATGACAAACTCAGGCAGCCGCTCACCCTGTTCGTTCCATTCTCATCCGTGGGTCCCAGTGTGACGTTCTTCAGATGTTCTTCTTGGTCCAATCTTGGCGTTGAAATCTCCAATGATGACCTTGAAGAATGTGTGGTTCGACTTCTTCTTCATCATTGTTTGATGTCGACGCGTAAACGATGAAGATTGTCAAAGCCGGTATTGATCCACACCTTTTTAATTGTAAAGGTCCGATTCGGGTTGTTAGTTGTTCGGACGACTCCATGTTCATGGAAAAACTCGTGTTGACGAGGACGTCGACGCCGTCGACTCCTCTACTGTCTCATGTTCCGAGGAACTTCTTTTCCGGTGTCATGAACGAGTGGATGGCGTCGTCTCGTCTCGGCCAGACCGATGACGTCGTACCTTATCCTTCTTGCTTGCATGAGCAAGTCTTCTATTGAGGACTCGGATGCAAGTGTACGTGCATTTTAGGTACAAATCGTCGCCTTAGTTTTTTGCAATCTAGCTTCCATTGGCCCCGAAATTTTAGCAGCCTCTCCGTACTGGTCCTACCCAGCGCTGCCGAATTGGGGGCTTTTTCGAGGTCAGGTTAATGAGGTCCGTTTTTTTTTTTACTGTGTTTACCATTTGATACCCATGTATAGCTGGCTGGGCTCTGAGCGTGGGGCTGGGTATATTCAATTTTCAAAAAGTTTTGGAATTTATTTAATTGCTAGCTTGCCTGGCTCTCCCAGAGTGGACATGGAGCTTATTTGTTGGTTAGAGGAGACTCCTAACCGCCTCTCACATACTTCTCTGTCACTTGATTGCAAGGTTTTGGCCGAATTGACTCGTAGAATACATTCCGCATAAGCGAGAAGGCACCCACACGCGCATGCATGAATACGCCTAGCAAATACAGAAAATGTGTGCCAAATAGGCGCAGCAGAAACAGGGAGTCCATCCCTAGATCCACTTGCGTCTCAGGGAAGCCAAAGTCGCTTTTGGTCCGCGATTAACCTCCTATCCACCACCTGGGAACGCGCCACGTAGCCTTATGACTAACCGGCCATCTCTCATATGAGGGAGATACGGTACGGTACCTTAACTTTATGTGTAAAGCACGTATTATTGGTTGCTAACTCGTGGAAGAATTTCGAGAGAACCACTCATCTATAGCGGTTGAGGGTTTAGGTGTATTTTAAGACGTTCAGTTGGATTCTGGCATCATATAGCTACGTCTACCGTAAATGTGTATGTGATTTATGGATAAATCTATAATGCTTAAAATCTGTGGTCAGCGAATTGTCATCCATACATGGATGCGTGAATTAGATGGTGTGAGTTGAGATTGACTTATTTTCTTTGTGGTCGTTCATTTTGTCTTGCATGACAATACAGGCTATTGTGCTGGGTATAGGACCCGAAAAACTCTTCTTTACATCTCACATCTTTTTTTATCTCTCGCATTTCTAGAGACTATAAAAACAGTTCTAGGATCCACAAAAAAAGTATTTGAGAATACATCTAATCCAAGGCAGTTTGTAATTCGCGAATTCTTTGTTAGGAAACCTTCATCCCTCAATAAATTGGTTAGCTATCGCAGCAGAATTGATGCTTCATAGAGGTAAGCAGCCGCAGAATATTTCCTTACAATTAGAATGTGACATGAGTGCATTTCCATTCATATATGGCGAGGCAAGGTGTGAGTTTTTATGGACTCATTTTTGCGGCTGTTCATTTCGTTGTACGTGGATTTTTGTTCTATTTTTTGTATTCAATTGATATCTTATCCAGCACAGATCACTGCGCTTGGTATCAGGCCTAAAAACTGATTTTTATACCTAAATTTTTCGGACGAGATCATTTCTTCGGTGAAAAGTTGTTGTTGGCGAAGATATTATTCAATACAGAGACCCCAAGAAGGTGCAAAGGTGCAAAGGTGATGACTACCATTGCAGAAGTCTAACCGAACGCTTTTGTTTCGTTGGCCGTGTCTATCACTGAGCTCTGTGGAATAAGTGCTAACAGATTCATGAGGACTACTACTGGTTTTACTTTCGGCAAACCATGCTGCCTTGATGACGGCGGAGAGTGTCACGTCTTATATCATGAAAATCATGATGACGTCTCTATTATCATCTTTCTATTATCATTATCTAATCTTTTATTC